CTACGAGTTTCATTTAGATCACTAAGGCTAAAAAGTAGTTTATCAAAAACTCACTTTTTACGACATTCGGCTCCGTGCCGATTTTGTCGCGAAACTTCGACAGGTCATAACGTCTTCTTTATAACTCGGATTTCAGTATTCTTTATATATCTGTAATCCTTGTCTCGCCCACTACAAGTTTCTTAATAGATATCGGCTTTATCTAATATTTAATTTTGACGCTCATTTTTATTCTTAATTAATTAATCCCTAATAATTAAGCATAAAACATATAATTCACATAAAATTCACATAATTCTCTTTCATTTCTTCAAAATGAGTTACAAAGGTTAACCTAGACCATTATGTCAATATTAATGCCTAGCCTAGAAACACGGGAGTTACAACGTATATCTAGTCGGATGATTGTGGGTTGGGCGTAATCTAGCGTGATGGTTGTGGACCTGAGGGTAATCCAGTCTGATGACTGTGGACCCAACTTGCATGTTTGTATATGATCTGTTACGTGGGATATTTTAGGGAGACTCGCTAAGCTTTGGTTTATAGTTTATGTGTTATGTTTCAGGTACTTCTGATGATCGGAGCAAAGCAAAGACGTAATCGTACACATCCTTCGGTGACTTGTTTTGGAGATTTTATGATACGTTTGTTCTGGGATATTTGTATTTGATACTTGGTTTCTTATGATTTGGTTTTTGATTGAAAAATGGTTTTATTTTAATTGAAAAAAAATTACCATGATTTTTGGGATGTTACAACTAGCATATGTCACTTCCCCTGGTGCACTAGATGAGAATCTTAGGATGTCCAGACGTATAGCACGGAAAAGACTTCATAAATTGTGAAAGCATGTCATAAGATTGTATGGTCTACGATAGTTGTGTAAACCTTCTCGTAGTGATGTGCAAGAGTTATATGCTCATCATTCGAATGTGTACCGCTTCCCTAGAATGTTAGGAAGCCTAAATTTCCTCCACTGGGAATGGGCAAATTACCCAAATGCATATCAAGGTCAATACACCTGAGGTGATCATGGTAATCCAACTATCATACTTGAAGAGGTGTCCTCATAAGATTTGTGGATATAGCATGCATTCTTTGGTTATGTTGGTTCACTGAATAACATAAAATGTTCTTAACATATCTCTGTTATTCGATGACATATATAACGGGACTACACCAAATTCTTCGTTTGTTTTTCATGGAACGCCATACATGTAGGAGTATTATCTTGTGGACGATATCTGGAGCGTTCTTGTTTTGTGAAGTCGTTGTCTTGTCCAAATGATCAAAAGAGGTTGAATTTTAAGAGAGCTCAAGAGAAGGCGATGAAGGATTTTGAACGAGCGTTTGGCACTCTTAAAAATGTTAGCATATACTGAAATGCCTCGTAGTTTTTGTTAAAGAGAAGAAAATGAGTGAGGTGATGCAATATATAAGTATCGTATTGCATAATACTGAAATGTTAGCATATACATGTTAGCATATACTGAAATGTTAGCATATACAAGTACCGTATTGCATAATATGATTCTTGAAGATGAAGGAAATGCAATATATTTGGACCGTTGACCACATCGATCTTAATGTTGAACCATCGATTATTTAGAAGGCCAATATTCCGATAAAGATGTCATCTAGGTTTATATATCATATTTTAATTTCTAGGTTTTGTGATTTTGATTTCTATGTTTTGTATTTTTAAATTTTGTGTTGTTTTTTAGGTTTGTTGTAATTTCCTTACAAGTTTAATGAAATTTTAGTTTTTATAAAAATATTTTGCTAAATTGGTTATATTTTATATAAATTAATTTTAGTAAAAAAAAATATCATGGAAAAAGTAGCAACCCACGCCCTTTAAATAGCAAACTTTTGTAGCAGCATGAGAAATCTTAAGTGGCGCCTACATGTGTCGTGACAAATATGACACCACTCATTTAAACCTAGTAGACTCTAACATACTCAATAGAACAATATAGGCATGAAATGGATCATTAGTTCCTTTGTCACGACACATTTCACCCTAAGCACTAGTGTCTCCATTAGGTTTCTTGTAAGGTGTACTAAGGCTTGTGATCAGTAGAACTAAAAATACAACCATTGACATGACAATGTTTTTTTATTCTTGCTTCGACTATTATTAGCATGTACTAGCATTATAAAAACATAGAATTTGAGTTCAATAGAATGGACCCTCGTGTAGAGAGCTCTGAATATGAAAGAACATTTTTGAAATATAAAGAACATCTTAGCAATGGATAATCAAAATGATACATTTTGGGGATATTTTACTTAAAATATATTTTTTTGGTTAATAACCTTAGATAAAACAATAGAGAAACACATGTGATGTCACTTTTAAATAGAAATTTTCCAGACTCTGAATCCAAAGAACATTTCCAAAATATGATAAACTAGATTCCAAGATGCTACCAAAAAAAAAAAAAAAAAAAAAAAAAACTATATTCTCATAAAGGCCATTAAAATGCAATAATTGGTTGAAAAATTGATGATACAAAATATTTTGAGAGGTAAGGATTCTATTTTTGTTTTCAATGTTTGGTTAAATGAAAAAGGATTACACATTTAATAGATTTGAAATCCCAAAAGGCTTTATTTCGGACATGGTGGTCGTCTCGGTTTCAGTAAAAGTTGAAATGTTGGGTCCGCTGGTAGACTCATAACAAAATATCATAGTAAGCACGACAGAAAAATTGCACTACTCTGAAAAAAAAAATCTAACTACTACGCCTAAAAAATTGAGGGATAGCATGGGCTACTAGTGCTATTCATTATTCGTATAAAACTGAATTGTCCAAATGGACAATTTGGATTATTTGATTCGGGTATTCAGATTTTTTGATTAATTTTCAACATAACCGAATTATTAGTTTGGATTTCAAATTGTTTTTGGTTTATAAAAGTGAAACCGAATAGTTCAGAAAAACCGAATAAGACTTTAATATTTACTTATTTATATATTTTTATTTTCACATATATCTTCTAATTATTTATTAATTTACTAAATTGTATTTTTAGATAAACTAAAAAGTATTATCCAACAAAATACTATAATATCTACTTCTCAAAAGTTTTTTTTTTCCTGTAAAATAATTGATTATAATACATTTTTAATTAGTTTTTCATAATTTTAATTCCCAACAAAACAATTTAAGTTGTTTAGAACGTCCTGCACCTTCAAAAACTGAATCGTAAAAACATATCCAACCGAATTATAATTTGGTTGGTTATGATCGCATTTGAATTTAGTTTGTATTATTTGGATTAATATTTTGAAAAATGAAATCAATTTAGATTCACTGGATTGGATTGAATTGATCCATCCAAACGAACAACCATACGGGCTACCCGACTCCTTAGTAGATTCGCCCTAAACTTGGGTCATTAATTTATATTCTCGGTCATTTGATTATCCCTAAAAACAAATCTGTCAAATTTAATTACTAAAAATTAGAAAAAATCTTAAAACACAAATTATTATATTCAATAAGTTAATTAAAATCCCATAATTCACATCAAAAAAAAAAACTCGGTTAGCATCGCATCATGAGTGAACCCGATCAAACGTATAATTATCAACATGTTTGGTATAATATTTGCTCTTATCGGTTTAACATTCTTGATGCACATTGAAAGCCACTGCTCTGGCCCAGAATTTGATTTGTGCCTTCATATCTTCTGATGACCCCTTGTCAACCCATCTTCCTGGTATTGTTGGTGCTCCACCATTATTCTTCACTATTTTCATGGAGTTCTTGCTTCTATTCCTCTCTTTCATGCTTTCGAATTTCCTCATGCTACTAATCTTTTCTTGATTTCTTTCCGGATTTAGTGACAAATACCGTGGTAAACTCGAGCTTCCTTTCATAACCTGCAATCAGTATCACTTTAATTATGAGTAAAACATTGTGATACTAACTAAATGCCAAATCAAAATTTCTAATCCGAATATACACTAGAATAACATCTTTTTAACATAACATATGTATTTTTAAGTTATACATGTGCATACTCAGCAGACCATATAGGTTCACCCACGACTGTTATGAATATTAACAACACAATATCACTAGTAGGATGATATGTACCTTAGTTTTTTGTTGATGAGCATCCATATCAGAGGAGTTTAGAGACGCTTGCCTAATCAACCTCCCCATCTTGAACTCACTCTCTTCATCTTCAATATCATCATCTTCATCGTTTCCAAATCCAAAAGTTGGCATGGACGCTTTATTAATCAAATTAGGACTAGGGTTTCTCTTTTGTGAAGAAAAGCTTGAGCCTTTTTGCTTGTTCGACGACTCTTTGATCAAGATTTCTTGATCAGGAAGATTAGAGCAACATCTATACATTGGACTTGTTTTTGTGTAGAATAAAGTTTGCTCCATGAGATGGGGTTGTTTCTTTGACGTTCTTGTTTGTGTTTGCGGAGGGGTTTTAAAGGGTTGTCTTGCCAGCCCACATAAATATAGTACCAAACTTATAAGCAATATATGGTGTGAGTTCTTGACGATTTGTTGTGACGTTGGAGAAAGCTGTCAGTGCGGGATGATTGTGATTGGAGGGTTCAAGTGGGCCATGTGGATTTGAAATTGTTGCAAAATTAAATACACTCGTAATAAATGGTGTTTGATCGTTCTATTATATACAATCATATCATTTTTGTTTTTGAATATTTTATAAATAAATTAGAATGATTAGTATCCAATGACTATACACTCGTAATAAATGGTGTTTGATCGTTCTATTATATACAATCATATCATTTTTGTTTTTGAATATTTTATAAATTAGAATGATTAGTATCCAATGACTATACGGGGTCGTTGGGTCTTAACTATAAGATTTGTTTATTTTTTTCAAGAAATAATTGGTAGTAATTTCTTAACAAAGAAATAAATATCCTGGTTATCAAAATTACCATTAACTTTGATTATGAAAGATTTCGTAAAAGATAAATTAATTCATATGAAATTTTAATATGTTTCCTTTTTTTTTTCTACTTTGGTCTATAACGTTCGTTTAATATCTCATTAATGATGGTAAATTTGACTTCTCTTACTGAACCATCACATTTGTAACTTGTAAGCCAAGAGAAGCTTCTATACGCAGGCCATTCAAGAGAATTTTTACATTTAAATATTTCTATTTACAACGCAAATTACCACAATAATATTATATTATCTTATATTATTTAAGGTTATTAATATCATAACTTGAAGTTGCAAAGCATGGATTGATTGGGGATTGGAGGAGGGAATAAAGGGAGTGGGTGTTTCCAGCAAACCTCCCATGTGCTGATTCTTTGTTTATGGACTACAATCATACCATGTTCAAACTACAAAATTACACAAAACATGGAATCAAAGTTCTCAACCAAAACAATAATGAAGTTATATATATATATATATATATA